AACGTGGCCCCGAAAGTACTTGTGATTTTGAATGACCGTTGTCATTAAAATATATTGAATCTACTTTTGGAGTGCTGGTGACATCTTTTGGAATTACTACTTGACTACACGGTGCCTCCGTGGTCGCTACAAGCACCCTATTACAGACATCATCTCCTAGGAGATCCGGTAAGGAGTGCAGGAAGATTCACACAATTGTCCCTTCTGTGACAACACTTGTGGAGCAGGAAAAGTCAGAGGGCTCGCCTGTTGCTCACCGTTTGGAAAGAAAGGGTGCCGCAGCACTGCAGGTTACAGGGAGGATTAGGGTTAGGGTTACAAGAAGGGCTTGTGTGAAGAGAAGTGTTAGAGTTGCGGGTTAGTGTTGGGGTTGAAGTGGGGATAGTGTTACAAGAAGGGTTCGCGCGGCACTAGCACCCCTAGATGGTGCTGACATGTATTTTCTATCTGTTCCTGTCTGTCTATGGGCGTTGGTGCTGTATAGATGGCATACCCAGTATGTAAATGAACCCCATGTGTGTGTACACTTTTATATTCAATTTTTGCACTTTTTTCCAAGGATGGTCCTGGATTTGATCAGTAGAGACCTGAAAATCCAGATTCCCCCATGCAGCTGTACAGCTAGGGTTGCCAGCTTTTCTTCAAACAAAACCCGAACACTCTAGAGATGCGCGGACATTTTTTTGGGGAGAAGGAGCCGTGGCTTATTCATATGTAAATAGCCCCGCCCATTCCTATGTAATAAACACAGTTGAGGCTTTTTTTAGTGGGGGACCAGTAGCCCCTATCTTAATTTTGGTTGCCCCTGTCTGCCTGACATCTTGTCTTTGGGTCTCTGCTGTCATGAAACCCGGACACAGCATTCAAAACCCGGACTGTCCTGGTGAATCCTGGACAGGTGGCAACCCTATGTACAGCAACAGGTTACCTCTAATAGTCATCCATTGTTGGCCGCAATCAAACTATAGCAGTAGTGACCTGTTGCTGCAGGGAGACGCTGGACAGAGCTGCAACAGCTCTGCCCCTGCCTCCGTACTAAGGGAAAGTGCTGTACACCTTACTTTACATCACTTCCAATGGAAACACAATGCAGCGTGCCTCCTCAATGGATTTCCAGCCTACCTCCCACCACCAGCAGGGAACCACAGAAGACTCTAATCACTGATGTCGTTTTTACATGACCCAATAGCCGCTGCCCCTACGCGGTTGGCACCTGGGACTCAACTGGTTAAATGAATACCACCACACAACCCAAAAACGTATAAGGTTCCACTGGAGTTATTATGTATATAAACTTTTACATTGCTATGTTTAGAGTACACATGACTGAAAAAGTTCATCAGCAGCTCCAGGAAACTGCATGGTGCAATAATGTATGAGCTTTAAGGCCAGGAACATATTAAGTTGTGGATATGAAATAAGACACATCATTGTACGTTATGGAGTCACAGAATGTGGTTTTCATCTCGGCTCTGTAGCTTTCCTCCTGCCAAGGATGACCTTCTGCTTTTTTCCTGAGTCCTCACTTCTCTTAGAGTAAATTGTGTCCTAGCCGTGCTATAGATTTACTGTTTACACACGGCTCGGAGTTGTGATGCAATCAATTTGCCTAAAAGGCTCGGGAAAAAGTTGTGTAATTAGTTTGGTCTCAGTTGGAACATTATTCAGCTAGAGTGGAACAAAACTACAGCTACAATAAAACTCTTCATCTCTGTAAGCAATTATGAAAAATGGTTTTGATGGAACTTTAAAAAAATTTGCCACTGTGTCCATGCATGGCAAGGTCATGGGTTCTCCTAACTGGGCATCCTACCTATCTACTAATACTTACCTTCTCTACGCACCCAATCCAACCCCTGAACCCCCCCCCCCCCCCAAAGAGCTTTAGGAAATACTTGGTACTTCTAAGTATAAGGGGGTAAGTGGCCCTCTCACCTTCTTCCCAGGATGCAGTGCTCAGGCCGCAATAGCCAGCTGCCGGACCCAAACCCTATTGATGGACTTCAAGAAACAAAAATTGTTAAGTATTAAAAAAAAAGACATGTAAGCTGCGGAAAAATTTGGTTCGGATCTATTTCGGGATTCAGATCCAAAATTCTATTCGGTTCGGGTTTCGTATTTGGACAAAATCCGAATGTTCGTAAGTTTCAGATCAGTTTACGAATATTCGTTGCGAATACCACAGAAAACCATATACAGATATTAATACTAAAGCTGAAGCTCCCAGACCCGAATGGCATTCGGTATCAGAATTTCCAAATTTCATTTGGGAGCTCCAGAAAGCGATACGGGTCTGGGAGCCATATTAAAGCTGCGGCTTGCAGACCTGAATGGTATTCGGGAGCTCTCGAATGCTATTCGGGAATTCGGACTCCATTCGGGTCTTGGAGCATCAGTTTTAGTTTTATGTATATATAAGCAGGCCCGGCGCTACCGCAAGGCAAGGCAAGCGGCCGCCTGAGGGCGCTGCAGGGTGAGGGCGGAAAAAACAGGGCATTTTTTGCTTATACTTGTCAAAATGCCCCGATGCTTGCACTATGTTTTTTTTTCACTTACCTTTGGTGCGGAGAGCAGCGGCGAGTCAGAGCTGGTCCGGTGGGAGGAGCTCCAGGTGGGGTCCTAATTTAGCTGGCCAGCGACTGCTAGAGGATCCCGACACGCGCGGCACCTAACTCCCGAATGCAAAACGAAAATCTGGATTCTGACCCATTCAGATCAATTAAACCAAAAAACACATCTGATTGGCCAGAAAAGTCACATGTCCGATTCAATTTCTTTTTGAACGCAATTCGGACGGGATCTGAAATTCGGAAATGGAAATTCTGATTCGGACACATTCGGATGCATTGGGATTCAGAAATTCAGATGTGTCCGAATGACGGAATTTTGGAAACTATGTACGAATTTTGATTTGGAACAAAACGAATCGCACGTGTCTAATAAAAACTGATTTTAAAAAGTTGCTCTTTCACTGTTATCAAACCCTCAGAAAACTTTTGCCTTGGGTTTTGTTATGCTTTAAATGAAAACCTTCAGCGCAGCAGAATAAGAGTTCTAAATAACACAAAGGCTGATGGCCACCAAATGTCAGCAAGGCCAGCAATGCAATGTTCCCCTTACAGGCTAAATCTGCATTCTAATAAGTGCCCGGACTGTGACCAGGATGTAGATCAGGACTGTGAAGATCATGTAGAAGGCCAACATGGCAACTTTGGGCTGCTGGTTGGGCATTACTGATGACCTTCCAACTCTCTACAACATGTTTTGGGGTCAAAAAAGTTTCATGAAACACATTCTTCTCCTTTAGAAAAAGTTATTGTACATTGGACAGGCATGGATCTGGTGAAAATATTCTCAAAAGGCTCCTCTTGAAATAAGGGATCTGTAAGGCCATAGCCGGGAGCATGCACGCTACTACTCATGCGCGGGTCCCAGCCTTCTGGGTTCCCTGAAAACATGCGTTAGCGCGCACACAACAGAATGCTGCACACATGAAGTGACACCGTGGCGCACAGGAAGTGATACAGTGGCACACAGGAAATGACTCACGGCCCTCTAATATATGTTTCTATTTAAACCAGCTGGACCAATAGGTCAGTGCTGAAAGGTCTTTAAGCTTGTGCTCCTGCTGATCTGTTGCCTATTACCTCGACCCGGATTGCTGCTGACTTCGGCTGATTGCTCCCTGACCTCTGCTTGTTATCTGGACTCTGCCTGCTCCTTCTGTACCGTGCTGACCGTCTGGCTTGACCCCTGGCTTGTTTGACCTCGCTCCAGTTTCTGCTGCAAACCTCGCTGACATCATAGCTGTGCACCAGCCCCGCTCATCCTTCCAGGGACCCAGTTGCTGGACTTCTACCAGGCACTTTGGCACCCGTGCTTCTCTCTGTCTACTCGCTCCCTGTTTCCACATTCAGGGATGTGAGACAAGAGCAGCAAGGGAGGCCTCCTCAGCTAATCGGTCCTCCACCAGGTACGTGATAGGATCCTTCAACCCAAAATGTGGGTGGGGTTTGGCTTGGTACATAGCTACAGTCAGGTTACATAGGTTGAAGTAAGACACTTGGCCCAATTTGTTCCATCAGGAAAATAACAATATACCCAGAATCTTCCCGGATCAACATTTCAGAACATTGCTTCTTACACGTAATAACAATAGCCATTTATATTTTGTGCATTTCAAAACACATCCAGTTGGGTAAAAGTAGACCCTAGGAAGGTCAATTCCACATTTTCACAGCTCTAAGGCACATTTCATACTAGAGATCCTTTAACCAGATAAGATAAAAGGAGACTTGGTATGTACCGTTCCCTCATTGGCTGGAGGAGCAGTTTGTAGTTCCCTAGCACCGTCTTGTTCCTCCAGCCAGCATCACATGCAAGAGTTTTTTTTTTTTAAATGTCTACAGTATGAACGTTTGAAAGGACCACCAGACCAAATGATAAGAGTCCAACTCACTGTAATGAGTGACATATAACATTTTAATACATTGAGTTCAGTTAATCTTTCCTCATAGCTGAGCTCCTCCATGGTTTTGATCAATTCAGTTGCCCTTCTCGGCACTCTCTCCAGTACCCCAACATCCTTTTTGTGAATAGGTGCCCAAAACTGAACTGCATATTACAGATGAGGTCTCACTGATGCTTTGTGTTTGCTCTAGAAATTGTATCTTGCCATTGAATGCTATCACTAAGTGTATGGTCAACCAGAAATCCCAGATCCTTCCCCAACATTGACTCTACCAGCTTTACTCCACCTAGATTGTATGACGCATGCATGATTTAGCCCGCAACATTCAACCTCATTTGCCAAGGTGTTGCCTAATCAACCAATGCATCCAGGTCGGGTTACAAGTTAGAGACATCTTGTAGGGACTCTATTCAACTACATAGCTTTGTGTCATCTGCAAGCATACAACAGGTACTCTCTGAATGCCAAACTCCATATCATTTATAAAGAGGTCAAGGTAGTAGAGGCCCCAAACCCATCAGTGTCCTACCTGCCAAAATGAAGACTCCAACAAGGATGAGAAAGACTAGTAGATACAGGCCGACCACAGCATACTTCAGGGCTGCTATTGAGCCCAGTTGCCCACATCGACGAGATGGTTTTCTGCCGTTTGCAGGACCTGCACACACGGATAAAGGTTTCAAAAGTGAGAATAGAAGGCCAACATATTTGTACAGAAATTAGGAAAACCTCATGAGTGCCCAAAATTATCTCCATTCAGATCCCCATACACACTTCTAAATGACCCCCAACATCCCCTCTCCAAGAGGAGCAGCCCTTGTTTTGGAAACCAAGCCCCTTGTCCCTCTTTCCTACACAACTGTCCATATTTTAAGCCTGATACAAAGCTCTAAATAAATAAATCAGATACATATTAAGATATATAAATGCATATTTTTCAACTTTATGAAATGCAGGACACCTTTTAGCACCCCCCCCCCCCCTTCCCCGCAACACCTCCAGTTAGGTGGACCACAAACTATTCTTTTAATGCAAAACAGGATTTGTTAAAGTAGAACTCCAGGTTGTATAAAAATTAATCTTTGCAGTGGGGCTACACCGGCACTACGAGGGTTTGCGGCTCGTTTTTCTCTAGGTGGCTCACATAAAGAAGAAATACTCACCTGATCCTCCATCCCGCTTGGCTGATAGAATGATCCCCGCAGCCTTTTCTCCGCCGGGCTCTGGTGGTCTAAGCTTCGCTGACATCTTTACGTCTAATACAGTCCATGGAGCTGAGTTCTTCCTACTAGGGTTCCCTGACCACCCCTGCAGAGTCTAATTTTTCCAGCTGAAATCTCTTCTCATAGCCAAAGCAAGTGAGCTGAGCTGGCAGACTTCTTATAGTGACTCTGCTGTTACATAGTTACATAGTATTTGAGGTTGAATAAAGACATAAGTCCATCAAGTCCAACCTGTTGTGTGTGTGCGTGTGTGTATAGGTCCATGGTACAGGTCCCTAGGTACAGAAATGTACAAGGGTACAGGTACTCTTAAGAATGAGAACACTCATGGACCTATACGCACACACACAACAGGTTGGAATTGATGGACATTTTATTCAACCTTAAATACTATGTAACAGCAGAGTCACTATAAGAAGTCTGCGGATAACCCTGATTAACGTTCACCTAAAACCTAATGTTCAGTGTAGGGTAGCCAGACCTCTTGCAGGCAATGCTCCAGCTCTTCCACCTCACCGCTGCTCCCCACTTCTATCACACTACGAAACAGCCATCTCACTCATGTTATCCAGATTTAAAGTCCAGGTGGTTAATACTTCCATCCATCTGAATGTCATTAATACAAAATGAGAACTTTATGAAGTTTAACTTAGCAAAGCTGCATATAAATGTAATATATCTCCATTATTATGACTGGGTTTAATGAAATAATGGTGCCGAAGTGCTTGACGCAGTAAAAAAAATATATCATTAGCAAGTCAAATATCTTCCCCCGTCCGCCTCGAACGCGCCCGGGTGAAGAGAAAAAAGCCACAAAAGGGAAACAGATGTACGTAAAACAAAAGGCGCAATAAATTGTGGTTGGAGAATGCTTGTGGGTTTAATCTATCAAATCTGAACAGGATCCCGGCGTAGAATATATGAAGACACCTTCTCTGCATCGGCCCCGGATAGGACGGGTGAGATGAGAAGGGGGAAGTCATGATTTTTGTCGTGTTTGATCCCACCATCGGCCTGGTCAGCTAAGAATTTGCTGATAAAGTCACATCAGTCGCGAGTTATGCGCACAGACATTAATGCGTCCCAGATGATTTGTGTTGAACTGATAGAGAAAGTTTGAAGTAGTATTGGAAGACCTGAAATGGTCTGAGATTCTAGGGCCCCATTGGGAGGGGTTTTGTCTGAAAGTGGGAGGGGTTAGAGGGTCATAACCAGATATGTCTCCTGATTGGTTGTGGCACTGTCACTCCAATCCCATGAGAGGTGAGTGAGACACATAGTGGTGGACATCTTGGCAGAGGCAGGACTTTGCTTCCTCATGTTAGAGTTGGCACCACCTCCCCATTCCCGCAAAGACTAGCGATCTGATGACTGGCGGGGGTTATGATAGAGGTGGAGGAAGCACAGATCTACAGATTGAAGCAGGGAGATTCTTGCACTGCAGGTCCTCAGGTACAGCTTCCTCTCCAGCAAGGAGAACAGTGAACAGCACAATAGTGACATGACCTCCAAATCTGGTGAGAGGAGCAGTCAGGGGCAGTAGTGCCTTAGATGACCTCACACTATAGATATATCGCTATGAGGCTCAAGGTACAGGAAGTACCCAATTCACAATGAAACATCAATGTTTTAGGGTGCTGCTTAGATACAATGAACCTTTCTAGATGTTCCCCATAAGAGGTCACGTCTTCTCTTTCTGGGTTCAGTCCACTTTAATTGGTGTATATTCTAATCTTGCTTTATGGAAACCGAAGCTTGTAAAGTTGGATGGATAGAAAGTAATTAGAGCATTGGACCCTCAACAGGAACTTTAGCCGGGATGAGCTGTGGGTGACAATGAGGAGCTGCTGAGAATGCCGGCCAGGAAACCTTTCTTCATTGGACGTAACTGGAGATGGACCCCCGAGACCCTCAGGCCGGATTCGGCATAGCTCTCGGTCTCCATAATAATGCTACACACATGTTACGTCTCCCCGTGTTTTCACACATGGCCACGCGTTCACATTACCCATTGAATCGGGGCTCTTCCTCCAACTATGTGACACTTCATGATAAATAGCAAACAAGCTCGTTCTTAAGGATGAAAACATTTACACAGCTGCTCATCTGGCACCTCCAACAGGCCTGGAGGAGATTCAAGAAGATGTGGACACTGGCACCGGGGACGGAGCTGAGCCCCCCTTCCCCCTGGGACATGGTGGTTTAAACCGCCACGGCAAAACCACGAATGACACAAACCTGTGACCTGAACTGACATTTAAAGGGGAACTCTCTTCCGATACACTCTGTGCTTCACTTTAACTGGCAGAGGGAACTTATTACGGAACAAGATGTTTTATATTTATTGCGGATTTATACATCTTCAGAGTTCAGGAGGAATACTCAAGATAGATAGATAGTTGGCTTCTCTTCTTCTGCTCAGTTCTGTGTTTACAGATGATGCCACACTCCCATCAGGGCCATACCTATAATGAGGCAGCCCAAGCCGAGGCGGCATCTCTTTGGGTCAAGTGGGGGGTGCAGTGTGCCTGCTGCCCCCTTTGTGGCCAGAGTGTCCCATGCTGCTAAGAGCTTAGAAACCTGTGTCGCTTTGGCCGGCGTCATGCCCAGCTCCTGGCAACCAGTGACGTTAGTGAGCCGGACGGGACGCTGGACCGAGCCAGAGGTAACCTACCGCAATTGCCTGCACCTCCTCCCTAGCTGAAACATGCACCAGCAGCACCCCCCAAACCACCCTACCCCCCCATCCTGGTAATGGGCACCACCAGCAACAACCCCCTCCTTGTAACAAACACCACCAAAGCCTCTGATTTCACTGCACACTGGGAGCGTCTCACAATGTACATTAGAAGCTGCAGATAGAGCCCGCCTCATTTCCTGGCTAGAGGACATCCAGCATCATCATTCCTCTCACATGCATCACATGCAGGCGTTACCTAGGGCGGTCTGCATTCAAATACAGCCTGTCTAGGAATGCCCACTGCTCCAGACTGGCATCCACCCACCAATATTTGCATAACTCCTCCCAAGAGCCAGCCCACTGCTTGCATCAGGGCTCTTGAGAGCCCTGATGCTGGGGGTAGAAGTGGTGGTGGGGGTAGAAGTGGTGGTGGGGGTAGAAGTAGTGGTAGTGGTGGAGGTGGTAGTGGTGGTAGTAGTGGTAATAATGGAGGTAGTGGTGGTAGTAGTGGGGGTAGAAGTAGTGGTAGTGGTGGAGGTGGTAGTAGTGGTGGTGGGGGTAGAAGTAGTGGTAGTGGCGGAGGTGGCTGTGGTAGTAGTGGTGGTGGGGGTAGAAGTAGTGGTAGTGGTGGAGGTGGTAGTGGTGGTAGTAGTGGTAATGGTGGAGGTAGTGGTGGTAGTAATGGGGGTAGAAGTAGTGGTAGTGGTGGAGGTGGTAGTAGTAGTGGTGGGGGGAGAAGTAGTGGTAGTGGTGGAGGTGGTAGTAGTAGTGGTGGGGGGAGAAGTAGTGGTAGTGGTGGAGGTGGTAGTAGTAGTGGTGGGGGGAGAAGTAGTGGTAGTGGTGGAGGTGGTAGTAGTAGTGGTGGGGGGAGAAGTAGTGGTAGTGGTGGAGGTGGTAGTAGTAGTGGTGGGGGGAGAAGTAGTGGTAGTGGTGGAGGTGGTAGTAGTAGTGGTGGGGGGAGAAGTAGTGGTAGTGGTGGAGGTGGTAGTAGTAGTGGTGGGGGGAGAAGTAGTGGTAGTGGTGGAGGTGGTAGTAGTAGTGGTGGGGGGAGAAGTAGTGGTAGTGGTGGAGGTGGTAGTAGTAGTGGTGGGGGGAGAAGTAGTGGTAGTGGTGGAGGTGGTAGTAGTAGTGGTGGGGGGAGAAGTAGTGGTAGTGGTGGAGGTGGTAGTAGTAGTGGTGGGGGGAGAAGTAGTGGTAGTGGTGGAGGTGGTAGTAGTAGTGGTGGGGGGAGAAGTAGTGGTAGTGGTGGAGGTGGTAGTAGTAGTGGTGGGGGGAGAAGTAGTGGTAGTGGTGGAGGTGGTAGTAGTAGTGGTGGGGGGAGAAGTAGTGGTAGTGGTGGAGGTGGTAGTAGTGGTGGTGGGGGTAGAAGTAGTGGTAGTGGTGGAGGTGGTGGTGGTGGGGGTAGAAGTAGTGGTGTAGGTGGTAGTGGTGGTAGTAGTGGTGGTGGGGGTAGAAGTAGTGGTAGTGGCGGAGGTGGCTGTGGTAGTAGTGGTGGTGGGGGTAGAAGTAGTGGTAGTGGTGGAGGTGATAGTAGTAGTGGTGGGGTAGAAGTAGTGGTAGTGGTGGAGGTGGTAGTAGAAGTAGTGGTAGTGGTGGAGGTGGTAGTAGAAGTAGTGGTAGTGGTGGAGGTGGTAGTAGAAGTAGTGGTAGTGGTGGAGGTGGTAGTAGTAGTGGTGGGGGTAGAAGTAGTGGTAGTGGTGGAGGTGGTAGTGGTGGTAGTAGTGGTAATGGTGGAGGTAGTGGTGGTAGTAGTGG